AACAGACAAAGTCGGTTCTGTCACTATTTCAGGTACTGTCTTCTATGTAGTAATAAGCTACCCTGTTGTTGGCCAGTGGTGGCATACATATACTAGAATCAGATACACTAAAAACTCAAACCAGTTTAAATAATAAGTTTGAATATTTTAAAGTAATATAAAGAAAATTAAGCAGAATTAAAAGATGTACTGGTATATTTCAATTCATAGAATTTTACTTGATTTCTATTTCATGGTAAATATGTCTGCTGAAAAGAATAAACTGTGTATCTAACTTATGAAGTGTATTTGTGCATTAAATTCTAGGGCTTTGCTACGTGTGTTATCATAACACAAACAGTTAAGGACAACTGAGCTTGTAGACAGCTTCATTAGAGATTTCTTACCCAGAACCAAAGGTATGTAACACACATTCAGTTTCAAGTTTTGGCATTTTAGGAGATGTTACTTGTGCCAGTTTTTTATATTTTAGTTTCATATGCAGATTTATGTGTTTACAATGAAGTTGAAGTTAACGACTCAATTTTCAAGACTTACATATTACACAGAACACTTGTACAACTAAAAGTACTTTAGTAAAATCAGGAAAACTTTGCGGTCCATTATGTTGTTCATGATGCTTTGCAAGGGGGCGTGCCAGACAATTAAGCTGATTACAACGATTGAGCCTGAGTGTGATACTCTGCTGAGATAGATTGATCCTGCTACGATAGTTTCTATTCTGAACACAGTAAGCCTCTGTTGTTGTAAAACTTTTATTGATGTTATGCATATTTTTCAGATTTTACATCATAGGCCTGGATGTGAACCTTGACCTGGACAATCTTACAGATAATAATAGAAGAGTCACCTGAAATTGCACAGGCAAATTCATCAGATTCAGATGTGAGTACCAACTATGTCTTTTTATCATGAAATTCTGGTAGCTACATCATGCATATTTGATTTCATTTTCAATCATTGTTTTTATTTATGCAATATATTTGATCAGTATATTATTTAGTCATTGTTTTTATACAGCAATTAACATAAGTTTAAAATATGTTTAATACATTTTCTTTTGACAGCTTGTCCTGCCATCTTCAGGTAGATGCAGTAGTGGATATCCTGGCGAACCTTTATTGGACTTAGAGCCACCTTGGGACAATCCCCCATAACAAATGTGCATCTTAGGCTTGGCAATCTCACTCAGTTTTGTAGAAAAGGAGGATTTGCACCATTGGATTGACAAATATTGACAATTGACAGTTCAGTCACACTAAACTATAGTGACATGTTGCTTCAAGTTACCACACTTATTCTAAGATTGCTGAATTATCATTACTGTCTAAGGAGACCCTAGATCTCTCAACCAGAAGAAGAAACTTGGGGATCAATCAGTTATAAGATTAAAATCTCTGGAACACTACCCATCACTGTTGTGTTCAGTATATGGAAAAGATGACCGTGGTATTGGAACCTTGGAGATTCATAACTTGATTTCACTCCAGTGAAAAGTAACTACTTTGTTCTTTTACTGTCCAATTGATAATATGAAAATAAAGCACTCCTCCTGTCATTGTATGTTGCTGACTCTGTTTTAATTTTCTTTATAGAAAAAGACTATAGATATCAAGATATCACATGTATTTACAAAACCTATGAATCATTTGAAAGGAAAAAGAATGGTTGAAAAATGCAATATAAATCATTTCAAGTGGATTAATTAGTGTTGCACTTGGGAAAACTGATAAAATGAGACAGTCATTCCCTTTTGCCTTTAGAAAAATGCTTTGTGATTTTATTTTTATTTTTCTCTCTTGCTCCCTGAAAATAAGGTATATACACAATGCTGATGACATTGGATATGCACAGTAATAACTCATTAAATGTGTGTGTGTGTGTGGGGGGGGGGGGGGTTGAATAACTTGTCACT